TAAAAAAAAAAAAAACAAACAAACAATCAAAACAAAACAAAAAAACCCAGTCAGGCGTTGGTGGCACACACCTTTAATCCCAGCACTCAGGAGATAGAGGCAGGCAGATCTCTGTGAGTTCAAGGCCAGTCTGGTCTACAGAGTGAATTCCAGGGCAGCTAGGGCTACACTGAGAAAACCTGTCTCATATAACCAAAACAAACAAAAAACAAATGAGGTGTCCAGATGGCCCAGAGGGTAAGGGTCTTGCCCTCAGTCTGATGACCTTAATTCAATCCAAGGACCCAGGAGGCAGAAGGAGAGAATCAACTCCCACAGATTGACCCCTGATCTCTATGTGTGCCATGGCATGTGTACAAACACACGCCATATATTTATATAAATAAATGTATTCTGTCTACATGTATGTCCACAGGCAGAAAAGGACACCAGATCTCATTATAGATGGTTGTGAGCCACCATGTGTTTGCTGGGAACTGAACTCAGGACCTCTGGAAGAGCAGTCAGTGCTCTTAACCTCTGAGCCATCTCTCCAGCCCCTAAATGTATTTTTTTTAAAGTAATGAATTACAGGTAAAGAAGATGGCAAATTTCACAAACATTATGACCAAAAGAAAGCCTAAAAAACAGGTTATAAACTCATTCGTATGAGATTACGGGAAAGACTAATATCCTATAGAGAGACAAACCAGAGACAGAGGTTCCCAGGAAACAACAGAACACTGAGGGATAGAGAATTGTTTAATCTTGACGCTGGTGGTGGTTACATAGGTATACCACAATTCCTCAAAACTTATTAAGTAACCACCACACACTTGTTAGGATTCTGCAGTCAAGTTCAGGGGACAAAGGACTTTGTCACACAATAAGATATTGAATCTGGGCCGGGCGGTGGTGGCGCACGCCTTTAATCCCAGCACTCAGGAGGCAGAGGCAGGCGGATCTCTGTGAGTTTGAGGCCGGGCTGGACCGACAGCCTCCAAAACAATACAGAGAAACCCTGTCTCCTAAAACCAAAAAAAAAAAAAAAAAAAAAAAAAGATATTGAATCTAAAGCAGCCCTAGCAAAACTACAGGGAAAGTCACTGAGAACACAATGCTGCCTGGATGCCAGGCTCACAAGTGTTTAACTTCATCAATGCTAGGAATACAGCCCTAAGCTGGAATATTCTGGATAAATGCTATGCTACTTATCTGAATTTTTCCCCCCTAGGTATTTCAGACCTAAGTTATTTTAAATTTGTGGAGTTTCATTACATTTATTTATGTGTTCGTGCATGGGGGAGGGGGAGGATTCAGGGAACCCCTTGCAGGAATTGGTTCTCTCTTTCCATCATGTGAGTTCCAGGAACTGAACCCAGATCTTCAGTCTTGGTGGCAAGCATCAGGCTGGTGTAGAACTCAATGTCCTCCTGCCTCAGGATATGAAGCAAAAAATGGAATTCCAACAACTGTCTTAATTACAAAATTATATGCTATATAATTTTATATGCAGACTATTAAAAACTAGACTTTGCCATCATGAAAGGGCAAGTAGAATCTGCTGGCATAAACACTGGCACTTGTCATGGGCATTTGTGACATCTTTTCATTTTCAAGAGATATTCAAAACAACAACTAAAATAAAAACAACTAGAGTAACAGTCAGCATACAAAAACCATACAGCACATGCTGTGATGGGGCTTAAAGAAAGATCTCCACCCACCTAAGAGTGCAAGTCCAGAACTTACTAAGTAGAATAGCAACGTACAACCCTTTTGTCAGGTAACTAAGCACTTACACATAAATTAACCCGCTTAGTCTTTAGAGCAACCCTGTGAGACAGGCACTAGTCTTCCCTACCCTATAGAGTCAGGAAAACAGGATACATAGTGAAATAACCCGGCCAGATCTCAGCTGGTGGCTACTGGCTAGAATACCAAGCCAGGGAGGTGAGCACCTTGTAGGCAGAGATGGTTCCTCACTCATCACTAGTAACCAGAGATGACACCATGAGTCCAACTAAATAACTTTCTAAGAGACACAAAACACTGGGCCAGCCCCATGGGTCTATAAACCACGCAGCCAGGCTTGGGGAATTATTCAACAGCCCTTTCAGTACCACTCTGCTCAAATGAAGAAACATCAGGCAAATGCAGCGAGCACCGGCTCTCTTCAATGCACACTTAGAGTGGGCTAGAGAGACCATCAGTGGGTAAGAGGGCCCAAGGGCTCAGTTCCCAGCACCCGTGTCTCACAACTGCCTGTAACTCCAGCTCCAGGGGATGAACTTCTTCGGGACCCTGAAGACACCTGAATAGACACATACATACATAGATAAAGAAATAGGGGGGGGGGGGGCTGGAGAGATGGCTCAGGGGTTAAGAGCACTGACTGTTCTTCCAGGAGTCCTGAGTTCAATTCCCAGCAGCCACATGGTGGCTCACAACATTCTGTAATGAGATCTGGTACCCTCTTCTGGCCTGCAGGGACACACGCAGTCAGAACACTGTATGCATAATAAATAAATCTAAAAAGAAAAAAGAAAGAAAGAAAAAAAGAAAGAAAGAAAGAAATAGTAGCTGGGTGGTGGTGCCACACACCTTTAATTCCAGCAGAGGCAGACAGATCTCTGTGAATTCAAGGCCAGTCTGGTCTACAGAGCAAGTTCCAGGACAGGCTTCAAAGCTACAAAAAAACTGTCTCAAAAAAAAATCAAATAAATAAATAAGTAGTGAATCTGTCTAAAAAAAATTTAAGAGAAAAAATGGCCTTAGAGCTGCCTATATGTCCTAGAGGGTAAAGCACTTGTCACATGAGAACGCACATAAGATAGGAGAACCAACTCCACAGAGCTGTCCTATGACCTCCACACAAAAATCATGGCACACTTACGCCTCCACTCACACACACTGCATACACACACACACTCACTCACACAACATTTGGGGGGAAATTTGTAAGTACATTCAAGGGTACTGAAAAAAGGTTCAGTAGGTTTGCTGCACCTAGACTCCACATGAAATCTGAACACAGAGACACATGCCTGTAATGCCAGCACTGCACACGCAAAGATAGGAGGCTTGCTGGGGCTCACTGACCAGCCACTCTAGCCAAAGCCATAATTCAAGGTCAGGGAGAGATCCTGCCTCAAAAAATAAGGTAGAAAAAGTAAATAAAGAAGCTAGAGAGTGGAGAGTGGCTGGGCAGTGGTGGTGCACGCCTTTAATTCCAGCACTTGGAAGGTAGAGGCAGGTGGATCTCTGTGAGTTCAAGGCCAGCCTGGTCTACAAGGCTACACAGAAACACTGCCTCAAAACAAACAAACAAAAAAGAATGGGGCTGAAGGAGATGGCTTGGCAGTTAAGAGCACCGGCTGCTCTTCCAGGGGAGGAAGGCTTGATTCCTGGCCTCCACATGGAGTCTCACAACCATCTGTAACTCCAGCTCAGGAGTAAAGCATTCTTCTAGCCCCTGCAAGCACCAAGAACATACAGACATACATATAAAACAATCAGTGAGAAACTGAAGAACTACCTAATAATTGACCTCTGACCTACACACACACACACACACACACACACACACACACACACACACAGCTGGGCATAGTGACAAATGCTTTGAATCTCAGCTTTCAGGATGCAGAGCCAGGTGGAAGTTGAACCAGCCTGGTCTACATAGTGAGTTCCCGGCCAACTAAGGGCTACATAGTGAGAATGTGTCTCAAAAGAACCACACGACAAAAAGAGTTCAACTTTCTCCTCCGGCTGCCAGCACATTCTGATGCAATCCCATCTCTGTCAGCTTTGGAAAGGAGGGCAAAGGAGAGGCAGAGCCGAGACCAAACAAGCGCTGGCCAAACCCTTAAAGACCTTGGACCCCTCGAGGCCAGCTTGGTCCACAAGGCATGTTCCAGAACAGTCAGGGCTGTTGCACAGAGAAGTCCTGTCTCTTGAAAAACCAAAAGAGAGAGACCTTAGCCCCCTTCCGCATGTACAAACAGGGTGATCCCCAGAAACGAAGGAACCCTTACGTATACCAAGTGTTCCAAGTGGGAAGACTTTTAGTACCCTCCATAAAATTGGAGGTGTCCTGGAGGAATCAGAAACTGTGGACGCGTTTCAATCCCATTCCTAAGCAATTCAAGAAACCCAGGCACCAAGGCACTGGGGCAGTTTAGCAAACTGGGCTAATGCAAGAAAGGGGATGCCTGTTTCAGAGACAGTGAGAAGGCCAGAATCATCCCTAATTGTTGGGCTCCCGGCACACACATCACCCTGAATTACCCACACCACTCAGAGGCCGATCGGAGTGTCTACCTGCTCCGAGTGTGAGTCCTCTAATTGACTCATCACTGAGTAGGAAGACAGTAAGTGGTAGTCCCCTGCCTAGGAAGGGAGCGAATTATTGGCAAGTGGCTGAGGACTCTACGGTGCTTCGAGGAGGTGAGAGATGAATGAAATCCCCAGGCTCATTTTCTTCTTCTTCTCCTTCCTAGGTCCCTCCTAAGTTTAAACACAGACGGTCAACTAGGGGAGTCACTCACACAGTGTGGGCTGAAATCCAGGCTCAGTGGCCCACATGACCGAGGGCAGGTTGCAAAGCCTCGCTACCCGCTTCTGCGCTTTACAAACGGGAGGCGAGAGTTGGATAACCAGCACTACTCAGTGACCCCAAAGAGATGGCTCAGCAGGTAAAGGCCTTTGCTGCCAAGCCTGAGGCCCCGAGTTCCATCTCCGCGATCCACGGGGTGGAAGGAGAGAGAGAAACGACCCCTGCAAAGTTGTCCCCTGACTTCCATCAGCGCCTGTGGCTCGCGCGCACGCACGCGCACACACACACACACACACACACACACACACACACACACACACACACATACCCCAAAACAAACAAAATTCAAAAGCAAACGTGGCTTGTCGTCCCCGTGGCAGCATACGAGCAACCAGGGGGCTGTCTCTGAGCATCTTTGAGCATCCCACTCCGTAGGATAACAAACCCCACGGGGAGGCCTCACCATCACTCCGTCCCCACCGCAGAAGCCCAAGCCAGGCGTCCGCGCTGGCCCACAACCGAAGCGGGATTTGGTTAACCCCGCAGGCGAAGAGCTCTGAGGGGAGTCCCCGGCCAAGAGAACCAAACCCAGAGCGGCGAGTGTCGGCTCCTCAGCCGAAAAAGCCCGGTGGCGTCTGCGAGTCCCAGCCCGTCCACTCTCTAGCACCGCACCGCGAGGGAAGCAGTCCTCGGAGCGAGCCTCCAGCGGGCTGGGGGAAGCCGCGAGGTGACTGAGGACCAAGGCGCTGGCCCCTGAGGGGCAGAGGCAGACAGAGTCGCCCGGGCCCTCCCCACTGGGGCAGCCGGGCACCAACGAGCCTTGCCCGCCTCTCCTCCGGCGGGGCCCTCACATGTGTGGGCTGAGGACCGAGCCCGGGGCCCGCCATCCTCCCCGGGCCGGGAGCCGGGGCCCGAGGCCGCGACCCCAACCCCGGACGGTGCTGAGAGAGGGGTCACCCGGGTAGGAGCCGGGCGGGGAGGACCCGGAGAGGGGCGGGGCCCCCGGGGGAGAAACGAAGTCGGGGGGGCCCCGGGCTTCAAGGACTCGGGGTGGCCGCGCCGCTGCCGGCCGCGCGCCGAGCGCCGCTCCAGCCCCGACCCCTGCCCGCCGCGGCGGGGCGGTCCCTCTCTCCTCACCTGGCTCGGCTGCTCGGCCTGCTCCGAGGACGCCATCTTTCTGAGGCCTGACTAATCGACCGCCGCGGGCCCAAGTTTCTCCCAGGAGCGCTCGCTCTCGCTCTCCGGGCAAGACCAAAGTAGAAGGGCCTGAGCCTGTCGATGGGGGCGGGCTCCGGGCAGAAAGGGTTGAGCCTGGTGTCCGGTTGCCTTGAGTTTTTGCGGGGAAGTTATCTTTCCTTGCGGCTTTACGTGGTTAATGTGTCAGCGCTGTGGTTTAATCACACCCACTCCCCCCTGCCCCCGCATGCCCCACCGGGTTCCCCTTCTTTCTCAAAATGAATTTATTTACATGTCGGTATGTGTAGATGGGGTTTGGGGTTCCTTTGTTTTTGTTTTCTAGGCAAGGCTTCATGTAGTTCAAAGTAGCCTCGAACTTTCTGGGTAGGAGCCCAAAGTGAACCTCTGATACTCCTGCCTCCGCCTCCCGGCGCTGAGATTTTTATTCTTCAATTAATTCTCTCCCTATTCTCGGAGCACCGTGGTCACATTTAGGGACTACTTATTTACTAAACACATGAAAATGGAAATTAAATTTTAGCCATTCGGTACGGTACTATTCATGGAGTGCCTACTGTTTCTCAGAAAAGTTCACGGGTACTAGAAATAAAAAGAGCTAATACTCGGCAATTCTGTCTGTCTGTCTCTGACTCTGGTTGTTTTGTTTTGTTTTGAGACAAGGTTTCTCTGCGTAGCTTTGGTTTTCTTAGAACTCGCTCTGTAGACCAGGACCACCTTGAACTCACAGAGATCCACCTGCCTCTGCCTCCCAAGTGCTGGGATTAAGGGCGTGCGCCACCACCGCCCAGCTACTTTAGGTTTTTGGTTTTTTTGTTTTTTTGTTTTTGTTTTTGTTTTTTTTTTTGAGACAGGACCTCACTATGTAGCCCAAGATGGCTTGAATTCAAGATCCTCCTGCTCTGCCTCCAGAGTTCTGGGATTAGCAGTGTGTACCAGCATGCCCCCCCCCATCTTATCACATTATTTTGTATGTATATGACGCTGGACCCCTGTATGATAAGCAAGTGCTCTACCACTGACCCGCATCCCCAAGTCCATTCTTCTCCTGTTAAACACTAGTTTTTCTGAAGGAAAAAAACTGCAGCATAAACAAATGCAACACAGCTTTACAAAGTTAGAGTAATATTCCATAAAGGAATATTCCCCTTTTTGTCTAAAAATGAAAGTTTTAACTTTAACACAGTTCTTTAATTAAGAACAGCTATCAAGTAAGAATTGCATTTACACCAGTCAGTGGCGGTGCACTCCTTTAATGCGAGCATTTGGGAGGTAAAAGCAGATGGATCTTAGTGAGTTCCAGGCCAACCTGGTCTACAAAGTGAGTTCCAGGACAGCCAGAACTGTCATACAGAGAAACCCTGTCTCCCCCCCCAAAAAAGAAAAAAATTACATGTATAATGTCTAGTCCCTTTTCATTTGGCAAATTAGGAGAAATCACTCTATTTTATATCCTATTATGATGAATATAAAGCTCTGTATATAGGCAGAGTTTTTCTGTCCAACCAGCCTGCTCCCAAATAACCATACAGAGACTTATTCAGAAATGCCTGGCTGATAGCATAGGCGTGTTACTAACTAGCGCATTCAACTAAGGTTAACCCATTTCCATCCATCTACGTGTTGGCTCGTGGCTCTTACATGTCCTCTAGCATGTCTTGCTCCCTCGGCCTCCGCTGGAGATTCTGTATTCTTCCCAGAGTTCTTTCTGTCAGGTTCTCCCACCTACACCGACTGTCCAGCTAATGGTCATTTAGCTTTTTATGAAACCAATCAAAAGGCCCTTTGGCAAAGACACATCTTCAGGGTGTACACAAAGATCGTGCCACAACACCCGTACCTAATTTACCTTCTATCATAACTAAGGGAAACTGTCACTATTACTATCTCGTCTTCAACTCCATCAAAGACTACTGAAGAATATATTGCCTGAGCAAGCAGAAAGTGAAGCGCAAACCACTTCCAAAACTATAGAAACAACAGAGACATCTGGCTGCTCATACAGCCACCCAAGGTTCCTCTGCAACGTTGGGGCATCCATCTTCAGCCTACAGGCCAGGAATATCTGGCAGACTTTTCTATGAAGCAGGAATTTTGAAGGACTATCCCACCTTATTTTGGCAAAGTTCAGCAATTACTTTCCTGTGTGTCCTGCAGAATATCTGGCAGACTTTTCTTTTCTTGGTTTTTCGAGACAGGGTTTCTCTGTGGCTTTGGAGTCTGTCCTGGAACTAGTTCTTGTAGACCAAGATGGCCTCGAGCTCACAGAGATCTGCCTGCCTCTGCCTCCCGAGTGCTGGGATTAAAGACAGACACCACCACCGCCCGACTCTGGCAGACTTTTCTATGAGAATTTTGAAGTACTGTCCTGCCGTGTTTTGGCAAGTTCAGCAGCCACTTTCCTTTGTGTCCTGTGCATGTTCAGTTTGTACATCATGCTGTCAGTAGTCAAGGTAAAGGCAGTTTCTTCCTCAAATGACTAGCTTTGCCATATTGAAAACAAACTCCATACGATGGTTCTTCAGTGTCCATCTTCCTTTTATGAAGTAGATTTGTGCTGCCAGGAGCAGCTATGTCTTACTATCATGAAAATCCCTATTTCAAATGCCATATTCTGCAGGTCTTTGAAGTGTTTGAAGATCATCTATCTAAAATATATTCTCTGTATGATCTTAAAAACATACCTAACATAACTACAAGTTTGATTGTTATAGATGACTACTAACCTGATTTTTTTTTTTTGGTTTTTCGAGACAGGTTTCTCTGTGGCTTTGGAGGCTGTCCTGGAACTAGCTCTTGTAGACCAGGCTGGTCTCAAACTCACAGAGATCCGCCTGCCTCTGAATTTCTTAATTATCCTAAATTGTTTATAATAATAGCTTTTAAGGAATGGGACATTTACCTTACATTTTTGAATGAATTACATAGGTACAATACCTTTTTTTTGTTTGTTTGTTTGTTTTGTTTTTTGTTTTTCAAGACAGGGTTTCTCTGTGGCTTTGGAGGCTGTTCTGGAACTCGCTTGGTAGTCCAGGCTGCCCTCGAACTCACAGAGATCCGCCTGCCTCTGCCTCCCGAGTGCTGGGATTAAAGGTGTGCGCCACCAATGCCCGGCTTAGGTACAATACCTTAAAGAAGAGTAGAAACATATATGCTGTATAACAAAAATAACTTTAAATTTGTATCAATATACCAAAATCCATACCAATGTAAAATATTTGAGGTTAATAGTTGTCTTTTCATCCTGTATTCCTATATCCTCACTAAATGATGACAAACATCCATAACCCATCAAATGACCAAAAACCACCCACCCCACCCTCTCGGGAATATGGGCATCATGTTCTTTAGACTGCTTCCTGCTTTCTGGGGATGATGGCATCCTTAGGGAACCCTGAGAAAATTGAGATAATGCTCAAGTCCTGGGAAAAACTAGTGTAATATTTATTGTCCAGTCTCAAAACTGTTCCCATGCAGAGGGATCAGTACATATGTCACCTGTCATGTGATTTTTTCTTGGTTCATTTCTTTATGTCTGTAGTCAAGGTTTTCAGGAGACACCCCCAATCAAAACTGATCTCTTGAAGGAATCCACAGTCTTTACTTTCCTGTGGAAACAAAAGCATAGCCTCTTCCCCAATTCAACACATTTTCTGGATTCCATTTTAGACTTAAGGCATCCCTAAAATATCCAGGCAGGTTTAATTCAGCAGTCCCTTTTACAATCCAATGTCTCTCAGCAGCTGTTGTTATCAGCATTCAAAAAATTCACACCAACACAACACCACGCAGGATCCAGACTCCCTGTGTATTTCACATCGTCACATGGCTTTTTCTTCTATTATTTACAGTCTCTTTAAAGACTTTATTATTTGTAAACTATTTACTTTTTCTATGACTGTCTATAGCCATTTCCTTTTCTTTCTTGAGCCTACACACATTTTTAAACTCAATGTAACCTGTTTGAAGTTTTTTTTTTTCCATCTAGACAACCTGTCTTTACTGCATGTCTCTAGCCTTTTCTGACTGCACTGGCACTGACTCCACCCCTCTCCAGTCCGTGAGAGCTGAGCTTTACACCCTATGAGCCTGGCTGAGAGCTGCGTTTAACCAGGAGCTGCATTCAACACCCCAGTTCTGGGTGCCCACCCCAGCTGGTGCCCACACTGTAGCAGACATTTTTACTCAGCTTGCTGTTGTTCCTTAACTTGCTGGCTACTCAAGTGCCTGCTGTATGGCAGAGACTCTTAAAGGAGCCATATCCAGTTTTGGTGACGTTGTTGTTTTGTTTTGTTTTTAGCTTTCTCGGGCCCTATGTGGAAATTCAGGCCCCATGTTGGAATACCAAATGTAGCATAAACAAATGTAACACATTTGTAGCATGATTAATAAAATCTCAGAGACAGATATTGGGGTCAAAGCTGAAGATCAGAAAAGCAAAGCAGCCAAACCACTAGAGAGTTCTCACCTCTACCAAGGCTCAGATCTGTGGGGACAACAGACCTTGGCCAGAGACCCACTTCCCCATCAGCCTGGGACCAGGCAGCTGTAAGACAATGTTTACTGAAAACATGTTTATTAAAAACAATACAGTGCCCAGGGCAATAATTTCCTGAAAAGGGCTTGCCCATGGAAACGCCCTGACCT